TAAGCGTGAGTACTAAATCTTGTAGCTGATTTGGTGAGGATCGGCGAGTATGCTTGGGGCACTGCATGTCTTTGCCGGTTGTACGATGAGCTTTCCTCAGCCTCACAAAAATCAACGAACTCGATGGCTGGCTGGCTGACGCTCTTGCAGTCATGGATTTACGAGCACTTTCCTTATTTGGGGGGTGGCACATTGAAGACGGAATTCGAGGGGCCATTAGCGAGCCGATGGGAGCCTCAGTCAAAGACTACTTCAACGCCTGAACGAGCGTCGTACCTGCGATCTCGATTAGATGATTTGATCCCCGATCAGGTAACATACCACTTTAATAATCTGTTATTACTACTTAGGTTATATGTTTTACATCTAATTTTTTATTTAATATGTTTTACTTAGGTTATATGGTCACCGTATACGGCTATTCGTGATCGTTTCCCGATGCCAGATTCTGCTTGGTTTAGTGGGATGATATGTTGCATGGACCACTTCGAGGCATATCATCCGGACAGAGTCTTGAGGCAGTTCAACCGGGTGCAAATCATTCCAGGTCGTGCATACATGTCAAAAGATATGTACAAAGCTCTAGTTAGCAAAGGTCGACCGGTCCAGAACTCAATTTTCGTTGCGTACGGCGAACGATTCTCTGATCGGTGGGAGGAGTATTGTCTGGACGAGGAGTCGAGGTCCGTTGAAATTGAACTCGGGGAGGCGGACACTTCGCCGGACTACATGAATTGGTTCCGACCCAGATGCATGTTACAACTGAGTAGGCATGGAGCCCATCCTACTCGACCCCAGGCGGATCGACCTCGACCCCATGAAGCTCGTCCAGAGGGTGGTACCGATAAGGAGGTCCAACTTTCACAAATTTTGGAGTTGGTGAAGGGTACACTTAGCGAGGTACGGGGACTTGCGCCATCCGACGCTCATACGGTCATGTGGGGGACCCTAAATGATATTGTCAGATTGATCGAGCCGGATGCCCCACTTCCACCTCCTTCGAGGTCGTCGGATGCCCCACCACCACCACCTCCAGGTAGCTCGATAGGGCCACTTCCACCGCCATCGAGCTCGTCCGATGCCCCACAGGCGGTTGTGAAACGCGTGTTTAGTAGGAAGAAAAAAACACAGGATTAGTCTTGTATTTTTTTAGATGGATGTTGTTTTATGGATTTTATTTGTTTTACTTGCTTTTTAATTTAGTTTTATATGGATTTTGGTTGTTTGTAATGAAATTATTTTTGGTAATTTGAAATATATTTGGGATTAGTCTTGTATCAAATTATTTTTATCTTACATTGCAATATACTTGGGGTTAAATTCACAAAAAAAAAAAAAAAAAAAAATTTACAAATTTTTCAAAAAAATAAAAATTTGATACATTTTTTTTTGTTTTTTGAAACGAATTACAGAGAGTAATTCGACAGCTAGCTGTCGGATTTGAGCTGTATCAAAGGTTTTTTTTTTTGGAAATTTGGAATTTTTTTTTTCTTTTTTTCCAAAGACACGTACAATATGTTTTTTATCCTACATTGCAATATATTTGGGGTTAATTGCACAAAAAAATAAAATTGCATTTTTTCAAAAAAAAAAAAAAATGTAACAGCTCAAATTCGACAGCTAGCTGTCGAATTATACACAATAATTCGACAGCTAGCTGTCGAATTGGAGCTGTTTGCAATTTTTTTTTTTGTTTTTTGAAAAAATTGCAATTTTAT